GGATAGCCGCCACCGCTTGCTTCTTCAGAAGAACGCGAGCGGCATTTCTGTAATTTTATCCCTTCCTTGTATTGATCACTCAGAATTGTTTATTTAATGGTTCCCGCAGACTTCCATTTTCAGTGTCTGTTTAGTTATAAATTAGTAAAGGGAAGGGAAGGGAAGGGAAGGGAAGGAAATGGTAGGTAAGGAGGAAAGAAGTGAAGGGGTAAAAATTGTTGATATCAGCTTTATTTAGATTAAGGAAAGTAGAGAAGCGGGATGATAATATTTTTACTTAATTAGTTAATTTAAAGAAAAATAAAATAAAATATTTAAGATATTATATATCAAAACCAATTAAAGAAAAATATTTTTATATATTTATTTTTAAAAAAATTAAAAAATATTAAATGTATAAACTAAATCTTTTACAATTTTTTTTTAATTTAGAGAAATAAAAAACAAAAGAATGGGAGGCTCTATCACTCCTTCATCTCCTTCTCCCTCTGTTAAAGAAGAAAAACTAACAAAGTAAAAGAATTATATGCTCCTCATTCTCGTTTCTTTTCCTTCCAGATCCCCTAATCCAAACAAAAGATTTAATGGTGATGAACCATGTAACAGGTGAGGAGATTCCTTTTTTTAATTTCATTTTTATTTTTTTCAATATTATAATTTGAAAATTTTAATTTACTATGTCAAATTCTTAATTACTCCACATCCCTTAAATTCCTAAGGGTGAACATTCATTTACAATAGACAAGAAAACAAGTACATCTTTAAAGTCATTCAATCATAAAGAATCATCCTTCTATTTGTCGTGGATGGTTTTTTGGGTAAGTGTTCTTACCATTTATAGGTGTTTGTCTTTCTATATCTCCCCCTAGACTCTCTTTGTAATCTGTATTTATTTGAGTAATTGATCGAAGATCATTCTCTTCTTAGGCATCACCCAACTAAAAACTTATTATCAAGAACTGTTAGCAAAATAAAAGATCGATATCAGGTTTCTTTTAATATCTCTATCAGAGGGAGCAGTGATAATGAAAAAGAAGATTAGTTGTGCAAAGCCATGAGACCAACCTTGTTCATCAGGCTCAGACTGTAGCCTGGAATCCTCCCCTGCCAATCCCTCTCCTGGAAACCCAAGTACCACCAAATGCAGCAGAGAAAATCCAGAAAAAACTGATCTTCTGTTCAAAAGTCCTGATGAATCTTCTTTCTCTTTATCAGTACTTCTTTTTTTTAGTACATTTAATTATGAATTATACGATAAATGTAATTTTTTTATATTTTCAATTCTTTTATCACTTGATTTAAGATTTAAATTTAAAATTTTCAATTTAAAATCTCAAATTTTTAACTGTTAAATCACTAGTATTAAAATTTTTTTTTATAAATATTTCTATTTCTTAATAATATCATTTTTTCTAACCTGACACGTGGCAATTCTAATTGAAATTACGTTTTAGGCCTTAAATGTTTGTGAAGCACGCAGCCTCAAACCTCATGGAAATGAACAGGAAAAGGGGAAAAAAATTACTCAAAAATAGTTACAGAGACATACAAAAACTGTTAATGTTGTATTATCATTAAATAATTTCTGTCAGAAAAAGGTACATAATTGGATGCTGTTTTTTACAACATTCTAATTGACATTGAAGGAAAAAGGGGCCTTTGAATATGGAAAAAAAAGGATTAGTGAACCCAAATATTAATCTCAAAATCCAGTAGCCAATATATAACTGATCCCCTGCACAATTAAGGCAGTGGCATAGGGGGCTTCCAGTGAGAGAATTCAACCAAGTTTCTATTAACAATAGTTCTGTTATGCAGCCAAAATGTTTCAGCTGACTGGTGGAATTGCCTCACTTTCCTCTGAAGTTCCCACAGTATACCTTGCATTGCAGAACATGGCTTTGATTCTAGGGCATAAACCCACAGGCACCTTACATGTCTACCACGCGCTATCATTGCCTCAATGTCTTCATCTGAACAGCAGGTGTAGAGTTCAGTTACATGATGCTACAGAGTACTAGGGGTGTACCAGTTGAAGAAGAAAAGGGGACTAAGTCTGACCTGGTACTGAAGCTAGGTACTCCAGAAGTTGAGGACCAATTAGATTGGATGGCCATTTGATTGATATTTGGGTGTAGTCAATGACATTCTGGAAAGGCAATTCTACTTGATCAGAGAGGATAACTGGGACACACTCCTGTGAACAGAAAACCATCCAACTTACTTCAATTGTCATCATAAACACATGCATTAGAGAGAGAGAGAGAGAGAGAGAGAGAGAGAGAGAGACCACAAAAAATGACTCGTAAAAGCGAAGTGTCCATGATGATTCTCCTCGTGGAGCAAGGCAGAATTTGGCATTGCGCAGGTGTTGAAAATATTCTAATCTTCCAAATTTGTTAGGGCCACTAAAGTTCAACTCTGGAGATTCCAACTGTTCAGAATATCAATATGCATATAATTTTGGGTTCATGATAAAATAAAGGATAAAAAATAATAATAATTTTGTTAGCAAAAGAAAACAAAAAAATCCCAAATAAGACAAACATTCAAGCTCTAATGCATGCCAATCAGCCAACCAGATGCAATACAAAATTTATCTGATTGTGCCAACCAAAAGCACATGAACATAACAAGGAATGGGGTCCACCACCAACCAAATCAAGGAGAAAAACCTGATAAGATGATGGCCTATTGCAGGTCACACTCAACACAAAAACAATGTCATAATCAATAAACTACCATCAATCTAGATGTAATGAAGTATCAAAGAAAGCATAATAAGATTGCATTCCCAGTTCATAATAAGAAAACTTTTGCAAAAAAAAATCTGAGATGGAGACTAGTGCTTCAACTGAAGTTTGCATAGAAGCCAAAACTAATCATCAATGTATAACCCCAGAATAAAATAAATAAACAAATAAACTTCACAGTTGGAGATATTACAGAAAGACAACATACCTTCACTGGATATTGCTTTGCAAGTTCAATCAACTTAAGACGACCAACTTTTTTCTGCGCCCGACCTAAATAGTTACCCAAATACTTCCGCTTTGATAGGGGCAATGGCTGGACGATCCTAGCCCCATCTTTAGTCATTCCGTCATCAATGTTTCCAGGGATGATGATGTCTTTCCATGTATTGAAGGCACTTGTGTCTCTCTTATCAGTACGGTCTCCCTGCACCCATGTACAAATCAACATACTTTTACTCAGAAACAAATGCATTGGTAAGAAAAAACAATTCCAAAAAGTGACTGCTAGGTCTAAAAAACTCTTAATTGGTTTACAATATCTCTTGCATGATAAAGAAAAATCAATCTTGCAACTTCTATTTTTCTGCAATTAGATCAGATGAAGATGTGTCATATTTCTGTGGACTTGATGAATCTGACTGAGAATTTAAAAATGAAGAATTTTTAGACTTTAGTCTAGACAAAAATGATACTGCCAGCACAAGAAATGTATATTCTTCCAAGCAACTAATTTACTACCAATTTACTACCAATTTCCCTTGGGGAAATTTCTAAAACCTATAACTCACACAAGGATTTCCTAGTAATGGTAATTCAAAAAAATTTAATGGGCCAAATCCCTGCCCCAAAATGATAGCTTTAAACTTGTATGCAGTAATCTGACAGAAACCATGGTAAAATGAAAATCCAAACTGTAATGCCTATAATAATTTCATTACATTTAGTGAACAATAGGGTTTCCCAATCTGTTACTTGGATGAATGCATTCTAGATAAATGAGAAAACCATTAAAGTAGCCTTAAAAATTTGTGGAACAATTAAAAGTCTATGCCAAATAAAGCATAAAATACATAACACTCAACTAAAAGGACAGTACCTCAGGAGTAAGAATTATGGAACGATTTATGTATGTTGCCCAAGACCTAAACAAGTGAGCTCCAGCACCACTAAAATTAAACAAAAACAAGCATATTTGCATCAGTTTCAAGGAAAACATACAAAAACATGTAACCACCAAGTAGATGCAATATATATTCATTAAAGTTAAAAGTAAATCACATCTGCATGCATTCTCTATCCTGAGCCAGACCAAAAGGCATGTATAGAAATGACCACGGCATGCTGATGCTGAATATGCAACCATTTCTATATTTGAATCATGTTTTCTGTAAAGTTATTAAAATGGAAAAACGAATCATTCATATTGCTTGGTTTCGACTTTCCAACACTCTGATGATGCTAGAAATGAAAGACAAAGACCATAAGGACTTTAACTCATACCTTGGGAAGACAAATATGTGATCACGTCCCCCAGACCGCCTAAAATAGGGCATTTGGCTTATCACCTTGACATAGGTCTGATTAATCTCTTTGTCATTAAGACCACCCATAATCCGTACACATTTAACATAAGCTGGCACAAAAAATAAATCAGCTTCTTCTTTCTTCGTAGTACGGAATTGAGATTGTAGAAGTAACCTGTGTATTTTAACCTACAAATTTTACCAACATACAATTAATTCAACTGCCCTAATACATACATATGGATTACTCACACAGAGCATATTTCTCTAAACTAGACTCATTTAAGTGGCTGAAGTACAATCAAAAGTGTCATGTTTTCCCTTTGTTTCCGTTTTTGTGAATCCAAATTGTTCAAATTTCAAAACATTGATGTCGCAACCAAACAGGTGCTACTGCTAACATTCAATTAAACCGGTAATTCAAAATTACTCACATTTTCAACAAAAATTTGGATAATACAGATTCAATTAAATAAAAACAGCATTGAATCAAAGGAGCACTAAATTAAATCTAAAAATACTAGCATTTTCAATTATTTAGAGTCGAATAAAATGGTGTTGAGAGGGTGCAGCAACTCACCTGAGTACCCCACTGGCCTTTGAGGCAGGCATTGGCGGTGATAGTTCCATCCCTTCCGTACAACAACGCTTTCAAGCCGTCGATCTCGTTCTCGTCATAGACATAGATTTTGAGGGAGAGGTGTGACCCGTACCCTCTCTCCGGCCAAGAGAGCGCTCCGCCATTTCCATCGGCGACGCGAATGATGTCGTTGTGTGATGCGATGTTGTGATTGAAGTTGCACAAGGAGAATGACTGATCAAAGAGCCTGGTGAAGAAGAAGGTGGCGGCGACGAGGAGGATCGCTCCGATCTGGTGGGTGCGAGTACAGGGTGCGCCATGGTGGTAAGCCGAAGAAACTCTCGGCTTGTTGTTCATGCTTCCCGGTCGCTCGAAGAGCGAAGGCGTGGCAGTACCGGACTCAAGCTCAAGGTACAAGACGGTGATTTTCTTTTGGGATAAATTTTTTTTGGTCCCTGATCTCTATCAATTGCTCCCTTTTACTTTTTGAGATGAATTTCATAACCTTTAAATGGCTGCCAATTTTTTTCATTTTGTAGTGAATTTTGTCCCAAAATTTTTAATTAGTTGTAATATCATCCTTCTCATCAGTGTGACTTAAGTTATGCTTGAATAGAACTTAGCAAACGAAACGAAACGAAACGAAACGGAGGCTCAGATCACATTACATTGACAATTATATGCTTCAAGTTCTCTTCTTATAAGTATTATTGTTTCATTTGTAGTTTTGAAAAAATTATTCAATTTATCAAGGTATGAGATGATATTATAGTTTTATATGTAATTCGAAAGTTTTCTTTTTAGTTTGTTAAAGAGATGTAAAGATGCAATAATAAAAATATTTTAATTACTAACATTGATGCATGACCATTAGAAATAGACAAATTTCATAAGTAAAAGCAAAACCAACCCTTTCATTACAATTCATATCCTTTGTTTTATTTTTTGTGTTCAATTTAATTTTTTATTTTCAAAATTTTTTTATACGTTCCTTTTTTTAAAAAAAATAAAAGAGTGTGTCTACACCAAACCAAAAACTATATGGTGGAGTTTGAGAAGTGATGAAACACCAATGAAAACACAAAAGAGTTGATTCCTTTCATAGAGCACAAAGGAACAAACAAAAGATGAGACATTGAATGCTGCACGTTTCCTTCCCCCACCCCCATTTTTTTTTTGATGATGATGTTGCAACTCCTTGTTTTAGGAGATAGCAGCTGGCCTGGCCAAAGTAGCTGCAAATTAAGGAACAAAATTGAATGTAGAGGACCTCTTGGCGTAAGGGATACACATCTTCCAAATCCGATTCATTTGATTTCGTTTTCTTAGGTTCAAACTTAACGGGGCTGGATAATAAAGTCTAGTCCCGGACTAATTATAAAGTTCTGTCCCACGTTGGCTCAATTTCTTCAAGTAGGTATGACATTAAAGAATAACTTTCAATGTCCAGTACTTATTCTTCTTTACCCTAACAATGCATATATTAGCAACAAAATTATAAGTTAGACCAACGAAATTTAGTTTAATTAAGGATAGGCAGACCTTGAGCTTGTGAGTGGACTCCAGCATATGGAGTTGTCATTGAATCTGACGAAACGTGGTCAAAAAACTGTTTTTCTTTTTTTAATTTATTTATCAGAGTATTTTTGAATAACTTTTACATCATTCAAAATTAATTTCTCTCTAAATAATTTTATAATATGAGAAGTGTATTTCTTTTGCATCAATTTGATATATTTAAAAAATTAATTTTTTAAGTATTTTCTCTAAAATTTAAATTTTGATTTATAAATAATATCTATTTATCAATAAATTTGAGATTTTTATTAAAAAAATTGTAAGAGATAAAGAAAATCTATCTTGAAAAGGATTAGATGATATTACTTATATGGTTTTATTAATTTATAAATGATATATTATTATTATTATTATTTTTTATGATTGATTGCACAATATGAAATAACTTACCCACATTCCTTATCTCACCTATTTACATGTCATACAACTCGAATGTAAAATCTTTTATTTTCAATAAAAAAAAAATACCATTAAATTACTTAAGTTGTTGATTATAAATATACATTATTTGATTTCACAGTTATCATATACATTTATCTATAATGACGTTTTTGATTGTTTCCCATTAACACATCAAAATATATATATCCAATTATTTGTTTTTTATGACTAGGACTCAATTAACGGCGCTGCAAACCCGCCTAATTTCTCCTTTAGAGCCCGTTTTGACGTCGATCTTTCCCATGTTCACCATTGCTGCGGTGAAATCTTCCTTGAAAGATGGTCCGGTTTTATTAGAACCCTTGGAGCCGCCAATATAAGAATTCAGCACTTGCCTAGTGTCGTGGTCGTCGTTCAGTCTGGCATCGGACGCTATCACTGCGAACCCGCTTCTGATGTTGTAAAGGATTTGGTCGTCGAAGATAAATTGGCTCGTCCGATCAAGGGCTATTCGGACGTTGACATCCCCGTTTAAGGGGCATTTGGCTTTGAGCTCCGGTAGGAAGAGAGGGTGAATGGCTGGATCGGAGCCGCCCCGCGAGGCAAAGTTGTAGAGTCTGTTTTGCATGAAGAAACATGCAGTAACCCCTATTGTATGTGCCCCTGAAATTTTTAATAGTTAGAGCTTATTAATTCTTTTTACTTCTTATTTGATTTAGTTGTTGATAGTGCCTATGTGTAATAGATATGATAGATAATATATTTAACAGCTAATATTGTTATTTATAATTTAAATTAATTACATAATTAAAAAATAATTATCAACTATCAATTATTTTTTCATACAATGAATTATAATATAAAATTTCTTAAAATATGTATTAATGATAATTAAGAGGTGAATAAAAACATACCACCACTTAGAAGAACGAGGTCTTTGTGAGAAAGACCTTTCTGCTTAAACTTGGATTTCTGAACCTCAATTGAATCATCAACATCCGGTAAATCGGCGGCTAGAGACATCTTTGAGATCCGGCCATCCCTTCGACCGGTCGGAACTTGATAGAATGGTCCATTAGACTCCACAACAATAAATCACACATATCAATCTCATGTCTCATGTCCAAACTAAAATTACATACTGAAATTTTGAAAAATTACCAAGGACACAGCATCTCTTGCAGCCAAAGCCACGATGTCCGCACAGGAAACCACAGCGGGGCAAGCGCTTTCCAACCTTGCTTTGGCATCCTCAATGATATCAAAACCGGTAACTCCAGCGTTGCCCGCTGCTTTTAGCTCACCATCTAGATCATTGTTTATCAATATCGAACCATCACAACCCTGCATTTGATTCGATTCATTAGTGTTATTATGATATTACTGAAAATTTTGTTTTAGAAAAACGAATGGTGTTATGTTAATAAGGTGAAAAGGAGATGGAGACTTCAACAAAGCAGTCATGGAAATGAAGCCTAAGCAGTATGGCGGCGTTCCTAGGATCAGCAACAACAGCCCTTCGGACAACCTCATGAATGATGGCTTCAGCGTCGGGACATGTTTTTGCATAGAAACCAACTTGAAGTTGTCCTTGATCATCTTGAGAAGAACCTGAAGTATTGTGAATGAAAATAAGCAAAACCAGAAGAACCAAGGCAATTGGCTTATTTTTCATCATTTTGAAAGCTAGCTAGAAATGCCCTGAAGAAGAAAATGATGAGGATATATAGACTTAAAAGATAAAACTAAGTATAACACTCAATGCACAGTAGCTGGAAAGGTACGTATTAAAGAGAAAGAAAGTATGAACTTCTGATCTTTCTATATCTAATTCAATGCCTGGAAAGTGCATGGAATGAATGCCATTTAGGACTACTTTCTCATGGGAAAATCTTTCCTTGCGGAATCAGGGACTTACTTTAATTTAATTAAATAAGTCTAGTTGAGAGGAGTAGTTGATGGTTGGTACAGGATGCATAAAACATTTTGTTCATAAATAGAATCTCTTTCCCATTTTTTCTGTATCTTTTCTTCTCTCTTCTTTTTGCCAACTCGGATCCATTACAGCATTGATCAATTGTAAGGATGATGATAATTAGTGGTTGTGTGTCCCTGGTTGCATAACAATTCATATACTCTTATTCCTCTGCCAATAACTTTGATCAGTTATTACCCAATAATTAAACCAAACAAATCTTAAAAAAAGGTGAAAAACCAACAATTTTAGGGCTATTGAAATTTTATCCTTCACTATCTTTTTTTTAATTTGACAAAAGTAATTATATGACCCTAGACTCCCTGTAGATCTCCGCCCTGATGATGAGAGAAACATATCCAGATTGATCTCGACCTTCTTAGTTATGAAGGAATAAGGGTCCAAAATCCTTTATAGTGTCATTGATGAATAATGAGTTTCCTTACAATGAAGGCTAGCTATGATTGAGAAATTCATAACTCAGCCATCATGATGGAAGTTGAATGGATACAAAGGTTTTTTTTTTTTTTTTTTTTGGTGAGGATGCAGGGAAAAGCGAGAAAAGTCCCTCTAAGAGTGGAACCCACTACACATGCAACATCCACGTGTGCAAAAAATTATGTCATATCATAAAAAAAAGTGCCACGTAGTACACTTGTACAGACAATTATGCCACATTGGATAGATAACGTCAAATAAAATCTAAATCAAATTTATGAGTGTCATGTATTATATTTTTTAACGGTTACATGATGGTCTAGACATGTTAAAATATTGAGTTTTTCATAGATTTTAAAAAACAAAGGGTGTTAATAAAAAGAAAAAATTTTAAAAGGTGTTGATTGCGGAAAAAAAATAAATGAAGGGTATAAATAAGAGCTTTGACTTTATTATTATTATTTTTAAAGTTTGTTAGAAAAATCCCTTATTGAGTAAGAGTTGAAGATTCTATTGTAAATTCAGGAGTTAAAGATGGGTGTTTAGATAATTGGGAGACAGATGGATGACATGGGCACAATCATGGTGGGAAGATAAAGTAATTTTTTCATATTCCAATTATTAACTTTTTGAAACTTAAGGTAGTACCTATATCTAATTTAAAATTTTAATAATTCTCATTCTAAAAGATTCATAAATCTACAGCTCGGGATAGAGGGTCAATCAATTTTTATACTGCTATATTAGTAACATTAATTGATTTTCTATGCACCACCAAACATCAGATATATTTTTAGTAGGAAGTCATGTTTCCAAACTAAAGAAGTGCCATTTCCGCGTTCACCATTCCCCAATTGTCTGGTACAAGCGACAAAACCAAAAAAATGCCCAACAAACTTGTTGGTGGTTTTTGGAGTAAGCCCAGAAAATTGGACTAGAAAAAACCATTGTTTCTAGTTTGTCAAAAAAAGCCCAACAAAATCGTCAGTAAACTTGGGTCTTGGGCTTAGAAAGACGGCCGAAAAATCTTAGGCTTTAAAATATTGGGTAATTGTGAAAACCCTCAAATACCGTTCGGTTCAATTAAAGACCGAAATTCTTACCCAAACAAACAATTATCTGTTCAAATAAACTTACCTATACCCAAAATGGTGGATACTAGCGGTTTGGTTCACCAATTAATCCAATGAACCTATTATTGCAAATTAAATAAAAAAAATCCACAACAAAAAATATTACTAAAATGTAGTTCTCAATCTAGTTTATCATTTGATTCATTTTTGATTGGCATGTCTCCTTGCATTACTTTATTGATATTTATAAGATTTATTTTTTATAAAAAAAACGCAATTCTCAAAGTTAATATGAAAAAAAAAAAGTCAATTGCCTAAAATATTCATAATCAAATTCGAAGTATTAAAGCAAAAACCATTAATTTATACATGCACGGTTGTACTAATCAAGTGTGATTGATATTAATGAATTGATAAAGTGAACTTAACTTTTTCTTAATTGGTGGACTAACAAATAAAAGTTAATATTTTTAACCCATTGATTATGTGGACCACACATGATCACACATAATTTCAAGGAATTTCCATCTTCATTCAACCATACCTTTTAAATCTTCTAATCATTTTGAAGCAATACTCTAATTTCCAAATATATGGATTAAAATCATTTCTATGAGTTTAAATAGTTTCCCTTCATAAGCATTTAAATTTTATATCTATATATTAAATCAAGTATCAATTGTTACCTAATGAGTTATGATCCAATTGATAAAGAGTTTTACTTCTTACGTTATTTTTCATGATTTAATTTTTTAATATTATTAATAAAAAAATAATTCTTCATAAATTTTTTAATTTTGAAATGAATGAATTATATTTAACCACATTGAAAAAAATAAGCTTAAAATACATACAAACTAATTTGAAAACACCGTAACCACTAAACCAATAAAAAAAAAATCAAAGTATCAACTATTTCTTTAAGTCGGCAAAGCGCATGCTTATATTTTAGACAATCGAATTAAATATTAAATTTGTTTAGGTATAATTTAAAAAAATATATAATCACCCTTAAATTTAAAATAACAATTAAATCAAATCAGATGGCAAAAAAAAAAAAAAATCGTAGATTCAACATCAACCTTGTATATTTATTGTTGATTACTTTACTCATGAGTAGTCCTGGTCTTAAAGATAGTCGGTCCGGTTCTAATCTAAATTTGTATGGAACCAGTGTTAACATAGGTCGGGGGATTTTGGGCTAAACTTCTGGTTTGGAACCGAACCAAGTTTGCGCCCGTACTAAAATGGTTTTGTTTATCAAAAAATCAAATCAAATCGATGCACTGATACAGAGCCCTACAGCGATGGCAAGGCATAGAGATGAGGAAGACGATGAGCTTGATGATGAAGAGTACGAAGAGCCGGTGATGGATGACGACGAAGAAGAGGAGGAAGAGGAGGAGGAGAGAGGTAGGTCGAGTCGGAAGCGTGGAAGATCAGACTTCATTGACGATGTTGCAGAGGAAGATGAGGAGGAGGAAGAAGACGACGATGACGAGGATTTTGGTGGGAGACGGCAGAAGCCGAAGCGTCGGGCCTCTCAGTTTTTTGATCTTGAGGCACAGGTCGATAGCGATGAGGATGAGGAAGAGGAGGAGGGAGAAGACGGTAATAAGATTATTATGTTTGAACGACGCATTTAAGATTGGTTGAGTCTTAATTTGGTACTACTGGTTCTCTGGTAAAATGAAAGTCCTTTATAAGTAAAGATGAAGTTATCTTCTATCCTGTTTTAGTATCTGCAGGGTTAAGTTATTTGTTTGCTATGCTAATGCAATGTTTTGTGATGCCAGTGTAGTAGGGTATGTAAAGTCGTGAGTTTTGTAAGGGTTGCTACTCTTAATATTGTTGATCATGAGCTCAAAACTGAAAAAATTTGTTGTAGTGGCGTTACATTAACCCAGTTTTTGTTCCTGTAATGGCTTAATTGTGTGCTTATTGCTGACAACACAAGGGTTACTGGTTTAGTTTTTTCTCCCCACTTCTACTTTAATAAGTTCTAAATAGTGTTTATAGGCACTGGCATTTTAGTGTATTAGGCGAGAACTGGTGAGTTATTTTGACTTAAGTACTTGTTTGTATGATTGTTGTCATTTTCCCCTAAAATCTGTTTATTACAAGAGTATGGTTGGATAATCTGGTTGAATAATGGGCAATGGTACATGCAGATTTCATAGTTGATGGTGGTGCTGACCTTCCGGATGACGACGATGGTAGAAGGATTCATCGTCGTCCATTACTGCCCAGAGAGGATGAACAAGAGGATGTTGATGCACTTGAGAGAAGAATTCAGGAAAGATATGCCAGATCAAGTCATGCGGAATATGATGAGGAGACTACTGAAGTAGATCAGCAAGCCTTGTTGCCTTCAGTAAGGGATCCAAAGCTGTGGTTGGTGAAATGTGCGGTATGATTATAATTCATTTGTTCCTTTACAACTTTTAATCCATGGATTTCTTTTGGTTGAAGCTTTACTGTTGTTGTGAAGCTTGGTGGCATTTTACTAATGTGTTTATGAGTGTCAGATTGGACGTGAGAGGGAGACAGCAGTCTGCCTGATGCAAAAGTATATTGACAAGGGATCTGAATTGCAAATCACATCAGCTGTTGCTCTTGATCACCTCAAAAACTATATTTACGTTGAAGCATACAAGGAAGCCCATGTGAGAGAGGTAAATTGTTATTATTATTTCTGCCTCCGAGTGATCTTTGATGAGTTGCCTACTTTTAGATGCGTGGCCATATTTTTATTAACTGAATTGCATCTACTTCAGGCTTGCAAGGGTTTGCGTAACATATTTGGGACAAAAATTAATCTTGTCCCAATTAAAGAAATGACTGATGTTCTTTCAGTTGAAAGTAAAGCAATTGATCTCTCAAGAGATACCTGGGTCAGAATGAAGATTGGAACGTACAAGGGTGATCTCGCTAAAGTATGATTCATGTACATGTACCTTTCATGATTCTCATTTTCACAACCTGGATCTTACCTTCAAATTCTGCTTGCTAGGTGGTTGATGTGGATAATGTGCGGCAGAAAGTTACAGTGAAATTAATCCCAAGGATTGACTTACAGGCTCTTGCAAACAAATTGGTAGGGTATCACTTTTTTTTTTTCCTGGGTTCTTGACCTACAGTGGTTAAATGGTATAGCTAACAATAGAAAAATGGGTTTATCTTCTATATGCACATATGGAAGCTCTATTG